CGAAAAAAGAAACGATAGTCGAAAATCGTCGAGACAAGGAGTGGAAATCTCACGTAGTCAAGGTTGATAGCTGCCTGTTGGCCTCGTTGTTATTCGTCGAGTTCGCTTGTTCCGTGCTCTTGTCTTTGGACCGATCTGTCGCCTCGACCGCGCCAGTCTCTTCCTCCCTTTCCAGGTCGACGTAATAAACGTACCTCGCCGTGTAGCAGAGCAACAGCATCTCGATTAGCATCAGGGCATTGTGGGTAACTGAAATCGGGCAGAAGAAAGTAACAGTGCTCGTTCCTTTATTTCTGGCCCTCGCGTATGGAAATGTTATGGGAGCCTCTGTGTTCTTTCATCATGGTGCCCCCACCACTGTTCCCCATACCGGTTGCAGTTGTCGTCCTCCCCGAGGAAATTTGTATTCATATTCGAGAAGACTTTGTTCTTAGAATATAAATGTCCAAGCTGAATTATTTCTCGAAGATTTTTTTTTCCTTTTCTTAAAAAAAGACGATCATCTTGGAGAAAGATTCAACGAGTATATACATATGTATGTTTCTTCGCGTTTGTTAATTTCTAAAAAGTTGAAAATATAGGAAGAATTTTTACCATTGGCGTAAATTTGCGGTGTAATCGGTGGATTGCAGGGAAATAGGCCCGTTTGCACCAAACCCTTCACAACGAACGCCTGCAGCTTCGAAAACAGCAGCACTATCTGGGTCACTATGGTCTTGCGTGGAAGTTTCGCCTCTGTGAAATTGACAAGCAGGTCAAAACCGTGCCCATCCGTGCAGGCTCTACGCGGCCGCAAGAGACAATGACGCTTTCCAGGAGCTTCGAAATTGCTTCCTGTCGCGCGTTACCCGTGTGCGGTCTCTCGCGCGATAATTGTCTTGGAATCTTGGAAGAAAGAGCATCATTCTCGTTTTTCCAATCCTCCGTTTCAATATTTTTGCAACAACGTGTTTCCACGCGCATAGGAATTAACAACGAATTTAACGTGTAAATGCAAATTTGTAAATCGTTCGCGGTGTTTCTTTCCTTTTGGAGAGTGAGAGAGAGGAATGGTAGAAAATTGTTTTATAATCGGCCTCCCTTGTAATTTCGGAGATGAGATAACAGGAACAGATTATACTTGGAGATTCCTTCCTCTCAATTAAGTATGCGCGATTTTTACCTGGAGCGACTTCTTGCAGACTCTTCGTAGTAACGGTCAACCGTACACTCCGAGTATCACGCTGGCCAACGAAAGCGGTTGGAAAAAAATCGCGTATTGATCCGAGAGACGAGGCTCCTCGAACGACATGAACAAAAACGTGCTGTAAATTATAGTCTGAAATGGATAAGAAAATTTTTAGCAAGGATAACATAACTGTTATATTGGAGGGAAAAAAAAAAAAAAGAAAGAAACGAAAAAAAGATCGAGTATCTTTAGCCTCTGATAAATTTTTCAATGTAAGAAAACTCGGTTAGATAGTCGTTTATTTGCTAATTCTCGTTACGAATAGTGGAAAATCACATTGGAACGTATACGATTTTTTTTCTATAAAAAAATTAAGCGATACCGAGAATTTTATATCTGTATTTTAATCGCAGACCTTCCGTAGATACCGAGAAACCAACCAACAGTTAACGATCACTTTTTTTTTTACGAAGCGGTTGCCAAGAAAAGAGAGCAGAAAAAAAAAAGAAAAAAGGCAGAAAAGAAGAAATAACCTGGATAATAGGAAGTTGCAGGACTAACAGTCGAAGCCAGGACAAATTGGAATCGGTCATTTCAAGACTTGGAAAGGGTAGACAAGGCCAACAGCAACAGGGCATCGCTCGCAGCATTAATGGCGGCGCCTTCGTGACCTTTTTGAAACCCACGTAGACCAACAGCAGATACAGTCGAAACAAGGCTATCGCCAGAAATATTTGGATCACAGCTTCCGATAGCAATTGGGTCCTGGAAACGATGGAAAAATCTTCACCAAAATATAAAATAGCGCCAATAATTTTAAATTTTGTTTGTACGATTGTAGGATATTATATTCTACGCTGAAGAGAATATTGAAAATTTAGATTTTCTCTTCCTTCGAAATGAAAAATGAGTTCGGGATTCGAGTTGAAAATATCAATGGACCTTTCTCGCGATGGAATTTTCGTGTCTCAACCTTGTTTGGCTTATCGAGAGGACCCATCAAAAATTTTGGGCAGTGCAGATGTGACACATTGAAATAGGGATTATCTCTGGGAAATCAAGATTATTAGGGACGAGGTTGCTCTTCTATTTTATAGTCGTTAAAAAGTGTCTCAAACGGGCCTTTGTTTCGTTATGCGCGACTTTTATCGGATTTCCATTTCTTTTTTTCCCTCGATTTTCTTAAGTGGATTTTCTGGTTTACTTCACCATCGACTCGAACCAAATTTGATGCATTTTGAGTGAGAAGAGACACAGTGCTATCGTTGTTTCATTTTTCTCTCAATTTCTGTCTTTCGATCGGGAGAAGAATTTGACAAGTCACGTTTTCTTATTCTTAGAAGAGTCCAAGGTTTTAAATTTAAATTTCTCAAATTATTTCTTGAAACCTTGAAGGTTAAATCTTTTACCTTCTTTAATATTGAAATATTAAAATATTCTTTTTTAACTACGATATGAAGAATTCGATACGAGAAATGGACTTGTTGAATTTTTCTTCCGAAATTTTTTATTTTGGTATCTTGAAAGTTTTATCATTTTATGCAGATTTTCCCGTCAGAGAATGGGAAAATAAACGAATTGATTTACCTTGGTATTCCAAGGGCTGTAAGAGTACAGATACTCGCTAGAGGATACAACAAAAGTAGCATGATACTGTTATTCTTGTAGGACTGTGTTTCCTTTTGATGGAAAATATTGTAGCAAGCATCCAGAGCGAAATACAACGTCAAGGTGGAGAGTATGGCGCCAAAGCTTAATAAACCTATACCAAATGAACTGAAACCTGAAAATGAAAACAGGATATTCGAAAGAGAGATAAGAATCTGTAATGAGATCTAATCTAATTTTTTTTTTATCATCTATTCAATTCAGAGTTGTTACTTATATAAACATTATATAGCAATTATAGAAACATTTCCTGGAAATGTTATATTGATGATAGTGTTAATGATGTAGTTAACACATTTATAATATGCTTATCTATTGAATCTGTGATATCTGATGATCTCATGATATTGATAAAACAATAATTTAGAGAGATAAAATTAGTTAATCAATCTGAGATAAAATAAAAATATATTGTTTTATAAATTTGATATTATAGTTTTATTAGATTATTTAATTAATCATTAATATAATTGATAGGACTTTAAGATAAAAATTTAAAAAAAATTTAAAATAAAATTAAAACTACGAAAATCTCATTCAATCGATATCTTCATCTTCAGATACTAAATCATATATTTATATTTCTTTTTTTTCTTTTTTTGCCTTCTTTTCTCGCGTTATGTGAACTGAAAAATTGGATATTAGAGAAATATTGTTAAATAACAAGTAATAAGTTGTGCATCGTATCTCTGAGACAGAAAATTTATATTTAATTCTTTTTAGTTAATTAATTAGTATTTTTTTAAAACGTAAAAAATGGTAATAAAAAATTTTACTACATTGAAAAAAATATAATAGTTTTGAAAATACTTGAAATATGACTTTAAAATATAAGAAGAATGATTTCTTAAATTTATTACAAGGGGAAGGTTTCGAATGCATTTTCAATTTTTGTGAAAAAAAATTAATTTCATTAAAATTTAATTGAATTGAAGAATAGAACTTTGATACGTATATATATATTTATACTTGCTCTGAATATACGATATTAATTTTATGGTGTATCATAATATTTTTTCGAAGAGAAGATTAGCTTGTTCAATTTCTTTCGAGGACAAGATTTAAAATATTAGAAAAAAAAAAAAAAAGAAAAGAAAAAAAAATGCATCGTTAATATAGTAACAAATTAAAAAAAGAATTTTAATTTGTCGTTTCAGATCAATGATTAATTCATTTGTTCTAGATACATTTTATTTTCTTGGAGAAAGTAGTAATTATCTAAATAGAATGACATTATATCGAAATTTTAGTAATTATTTCTAGTAGTATTTTTTAAGTGATGAGTATATGCGTTTAATTTTCGTCGAATTATAAATAATGAGTTATAATAGTTTTCCCGGAAATGTAATATTTCGTATAACGGAATATATATATATATATATAATCTTTGAGTAAAACTTTCACCGGCGCGTTTACTTCTGCGCATGATCTATAAATTAGCGTACATGAAACATTCAATGCTATTTGGATAAAAATACTTTTAAGCATTTCAGCTTAAGATATTATTTAACAAAATGTAATCTAATTAATTTAATTAAATATTAGAGATTTGTTGGCAAAATGAAGGTTATTGTTATATTGAAATTATTAAATAAATGTGTTCGTTTGTCTAATATAAAAATATTATTTAAAATAAATTGATAACATGTTAACTGCGTATTGTTTCAAAATATACTACTTTAATTTTTTGTTAATAATACAACAACAATTATAATTATAAACTTTATTTTCTAATTAAACTCTATTCTCTGTTATGTTATTAATATAATAAAATTTATTAGTAAAAATTATATTAAAAATATAGGTTATAGCAAGTTAATTTTAGTTTTTTTTAAACTTTCACATGTCAAGAAAGTTGTTAGTTGCGACATGGACAGCATAAAATTAGTAACATAAAGTAACAAGTTATGCGAATCATTATTCAATGCATCATATATATTATCGACACTTTAATAAAATAAATCTATCCAAAATGGCGAAATAACAATGCAATTGAACAAAGGTTGTAATATTTGATCACTTACTTTCTATTTGTTCTACTGCAGATGGCACGTACGTGTAGTCGCAGCTTAAATTTTTTAAGGAATTCCCCAGATTCGAGAATTCAACCTCCATCTTAAAAATACTATAGCACAAGACAATTTTAAAACACAATTTCGATTCTTTTTTCCACAAGTTTTGTCTATAAAGTTCACCAAGACTTACCGTCGAGACGTTTTGAAAACCGTAAGTGAGGCGAAGCTACCTTAAACAGCGAGTAGAGAGAGTGAAATCCCCACTTTTACTACCATTGGATGTCGTTTGTCATAATGAATGGTTAGAAAAATCAATAACGTGATTTATCTTTAAGTCGATTAATGTTATCTTTTCTCTTAACTATATTTTAACATTCTTATTTTTATTTCTTTTTAAGGATATTTTGTTATTTTTTTTTCCATTGCATAATAATTAATAATTAAGAAATAAGAAGAATTAAAATTTTTGAAATATTTTTAAAAAAAATATACATAAAGATATCAATCAAAAATGAAGTAAAAAATGAAAATTGTAAAATAATATTTAAAAACAAATTAAAAGTTTAAAAATCTGAAATTTTTATTTTCAGAATTTAAAAATAATAAATTAAAAATTGTCATATATGAAATATATAAAAATAGACTAAACTACGAATCATAATAAATCAATATGAATGTATGTAAATATATATTTTATTTTTAGGAATTAGAAACAGATCTGTTTCTGCATGAATATTGCAAAGCAAGTATACTAGACAAAAATAAGTAGTGAAAGAAGAATAGAGATAGAGTAAAAATATTGAAATCAGTCCTATCTCTAGAGTGTCGCAAATGGAACGCATACAAAAAGATTAGAAAATATTAAGAATTGATTATCAGTGTCATCTCTTTATTATTGAAGACATTTTTTTCAAAACGGGTAAAATAGAGTAGGAATTGTATATCAGCGCTATCTCTTGAGTGCCAAAAATATCTTTTTAAAAGTATTCAAGATGGCACTAATATTCAATTCTTATCCCATCTCTATCCTTTTCTATCCTATTTTCTATTCTTTTTTTGTGTTTCATTTGCGGCACTCTGAAGATGGCTCTGATTTCAATATTTTTACCCTATCTCTATCCTTTTTCAACTTGACGTATTCTGTCTTGCTGTTGGCGCGAGTTGAAATATCAATTGAATATATTTCTATCGTTTCGTTTTTTAAAATTACAATGTGTCTTAATTATTCAATATTATTCAATTTATTTTGTAATATATAATAAAACTAGATAGATAGATAGAATAATTTTTAAATTTTTCTTATTATATTGTTTTATTAAAAAAAAATAGTGATATCTCTTTTTTATCAAATCAAACAATTAAAAAAATTCCTTTCAAATCTATCTGAAAAATTACGTATTAACAATTTGCGAAATTCGTTCATCACAAATTGAAGAAGCAAACAACCGGTTCGTTCGATACTTTCTTTCTCCTTGAACTTGAAAGATTCAAACCCGCCTTTCTATTTCACATCACCGACGAGAGGAAAGCTCGTGCATCGTTCATGAATCGGTTGATTCCGTTTAAGGTGCTGAAAAGTGGAGGGAAAAGACAGATGATGAGTTCACCTGTGACGTAGCTAGTATACTGACCAAAGCCTCGTGCAGGAAGACAGTCGAGGCGAAATAAGCGGGTGAGACAGAGAGAGTTGGAAAGTAGGCCTTAGTCGTTCAGTCAGTAGTCAACTGCGTGCTCGGACGATTGGTTGTCGTAATGGTAAGTTTCTCTCGGTGACTCTCGTGTTATTGTTCGTAGTTTTGTTCGGTAAAAAAAAAAAAAATCAAATTTTTTTTTCGTTTGTATAAAAGTAACGTGTTAAGAATTTGAGTGATGTTTCCATTCATTTCTAATTGTAAAATCAATTTAATTGTAAAATTGTAAAAATCAGTGAGATTGTTTATCAACGGGTCAGCAATCGCGTTTACCGGTGAACAGCCTTCATGATTGCGTGAACTCGAGCAATTGTGTGATCACAATACAATTTTATTCAGAGAGTTTTAATATATTATTTATTTATAAGGGTGACGACAAGTTTTTTGAATATTTCAAATTAATTGGTTATTTAAATCATAATTTATTAAGTTTTCGTTGCAATGAATTCGTGAATGGAAAAGTATTGAAAGTTGAACGACTGATGAAGAATTGGTGGTAGTTTCTCTATGCTTTGAATTTAATTTTATTTATCGAATTTAAATAGAAAAATTATTTTTATCGCGATTTACAAATCTTGAGTGATTTATAAATCTTATTTATCTTAGATCGGAATTTTAACGAACTTTTCATTGAATCGTTTGTTCAAGTAAGCAGCACGTGTAAATTATAAATTCAATAGACTCGCTCGTAATATGTGAAAAGAGTCACATTGTTGAGGATGAAAGTAACTTTCGTTTTCGAGGATCATTATCATGGTAAATCACCCAGCGTGTCTAATTTCAGCGTGCCTAGAGAAAATCATATCGACATAACACTTTTCCGTTACGAGAAAGATTCATTATTTTGATATCGGTTTTTAAAATGATCCTCCTTCCTGTTTTCTCTTTCGATCGAATTTTTATCGATAAAAACGAAGCTACAAAGTAAATAGCATCGTTGTTAGTATAACTGTTTCAAAAAATTATAAATTTAACACGTTTAGAAAGTTGTCTATAATCGAGAACATGAAACGAAACAACATTGAAATGTAACGGAACAATATTTTCTAATCGTTCAATCGTTTATATATATATATATATGTATAAAATAAGATCTTATACCACGAAATGTAATTTATGCTTCAACAATTTCTCGAGATAATTAATATGGAGATATTTCATAATGGCGCAAGAGACATTGCCGGAAATTACGGTTGTGGCATCATGAGATTTCACCCTTCTATATTTATAATTTTTACTAGATATTATAAAGAATTCCATTTTTATCTTGTATTGCATAACGTAACCAAGTTGTTCAACTTTCTCGATCGTCAAATCAAATTCAGTCAAGGATATTTTATTTAAATATTCACTTTATGAATATGAAAGAAACTCGCCATTTGGATTTACGATCTATTTCTACATGTTCGAAGGGAAAAAACACTCTCCACTTTACGTAAACTCGAAGGTAATGTTCATTATCTATATAGATGTGACCAGTTGGTAACCAGAACGTTTAATCTTGACTTATGTTAATTGGAAAAAAATACTTTGAATGAGTTTATCACGACGACAAAATCTTAGATAGAAAAACTTCTTTTAATTAAAATTAATGAGCTAGTTCAAGTAAAAAGTTGGCAATGCTCTAAAAAAAGTTCTAATTAATCGGTTTTTAGCGGTACTCGATGGTATAAAAAAAAGAATGATCAATCAAAAAATTACATCAAAACAATTTTAGATCACGTATCAATCGATAATTCAAGATCTGTTAATTCCCAGAATACAATTGGCATCTTAAAGTTGAATGCAATTTCAATTAAATTTAATCTAATCAATAATTGTGTGCATAGTTCGCGGTTTTCTCTTTACTGCTCCTCCTCCTCGGGCTGAGCCATTGCCAGGACAATGATCTTCCATCGAGGTTCGATATCGAGAGTTCAATCAACCGTACGATCGAGGAAGTCGAAAGACAGGTTCGCGAAGATTCCACTCTGCCCCGATTGACTAGGCAAGAAATAGTCAAGATTCTGCAGAACATCACGTCCCAGGATTTGAAGGAGTTCAAGGATAAAGAAAAATTGGAGAAAGCAAGGAATCTGTACCAAAGAGCTCTGATGGTCGTCCTTCCTTACAATGCCGAAGAATCGGCTGGAAATTTGAAGGATCTTTACACGAAGCCACCTATGACGCGGATAATTTCCGACTTTTCAACATCGGGCAAGAATAAAGACGAGGAAGTCGAAGAGGATAAATCGAGGAGAGGGGAGAACGAGGATGCGTCATTAGCCACGGAAAATTTGATATTAACTCGCGATTCCTACAAGAGCGTCTCGAAAGAGTCTGCAACCACGATGCAAAATCATTACAAGAATCATAGAGACACGTATTCAGAGGTGCGCACCAAAGTTCCTTTAAAGGAGACGTTGAAACTCGACCCGACGCCGGTCAGGTTCACTTTCAATCTGGAGAATCTTCGAAAGAACGCGTACACCACCGAAAGGACGAGCACGGCCAAGTATCCAATTTACAGGAATAACGGAAACCAAGGATTGGAAATCGTGTACAGTACGAGCGTACAGGACGAACCGACTACGAAACCAACTTCCAAGCAGATTACTATCGACTTGGAGAGATCCAAGATGAATCAGAATGTACTGACGTCGAGTCAGTGGCGTTACAACGCGCCACCGAGTAGTATGAATCCAACCTTGCCTTCCAAACTCGACAAAATACCGTTTCTTCCGACTATTAACACGAACATATCTGAAAATCTTACTATCCCTTCGACAATGAGAACGGAGATATCAACGAAAGATAGGAATGCCGAAGCTTTAACGATGAATTCTGAAAGACCAACTGCTCTCTACGTGACGCCTATGCCTACTAACACGTCTCCTAAAATGAAATACAGTTCAACTTACTCGTTGAACTCTGCTGGATTTCGACAAGCCACCTCTACCACCACCACCACTATGAGGCCAGAAGTGATGGATCTATTGGCGTCGATCGGTCTGCGACCAGATAATACTAGTAACGTCGAGGATGTTTATAAGAAGAGCAAGGATATGGCGGAGAACAAGTTCCAGGCACCAGACGCGAATACTATTCAGAAATTAATTTCTGGCTCGACCGGGGACGAAGCAACGTCGATCATCGATCAGAATACTTTTGAAAATTCGGGGTCTGAGATCAAGAAGGGTGTGGAAAATTTGACCCCGGATATTCAACTGTTGTTCAAAAGATTCGGTCTTCAAACGTCAATTCTGGGCCAGCCTACTATTACCACCACTCAAAGAACTACCATTAATTTTAATTCTTACACGAATTTCAAACCTCTGCCCACTTCCAGCGTGAAGGATCAAGAGATGAGAGAGTTCTTGGCTAAATTTGGACTTGGAACGAGCGACGACAGAAGGCATAAGTCGATGAGATTCTCCACCGAGCCACCCTCCGTGATCGAGGTCGTACCGGAAAACATGAGAGGGATTTTGGAGAACATTGGGCTGATTTCCAGGAAGGGTAGCAAAAAGGTGATAAACACTATGGAGGACATGGAATCGACCGAGACGTCCAAGTTTCACGTGTTCAAGCCTCACGAGGTGGACGTGAAG